ACAACTGGGACAGCTGGTCTGTGCCGCCTTAGGAAACAGATGTAGTCCTACAGGATTTGAGAAAACTATTTTTAACAGCCTGTAGAACTGTCACCGTGTGTCACCAATAGCCTTAACAAACTAGAAATGATTATTACACTCAAAAAAGAGCTATTAGCTGGAAACGCCCAATCACTTTTCTACAGGGAATTGTATTACATTAGTGTAACCAGACACTGAGCCTTTTTCATAAGAAGCTGGTACAACATTTTCTCCAAGGGAGTACAAAGAGAAGTATTCAACTGTGTGTTTGAATATGTGCTTACGGAGCAGGAGAGAATCCACAGCAATCGCAAAGTTTTGAGTCAAAGGTCCAACGAAAAAACATTCTGAAACAAACATGGATGTGGCACTTCTCTCCTGTGTCAGTAACGATGCAATCACATCGCACTCTGTATGTCTCAAGAGCTCTCGGGACTCAATACAAGTTAATCCTGGGACATTTATGACCCATTATGCTAGCATTTTCTTTGGAACACACTGATTACTCTTAATAACAAGAGCCCGATTGTTTCTAAATCTCCAAGATCATTGTGGGTGTCAGCTGAGTGCAGGCAACTAATAAGTAAACATTAGAAGGTAGAAGTCAATAACTAGATAAGCTGGCTGTTCCTTTTTGAGGTGATTAATACCAGGTAAGAATTAAAGAAAAGCTTATGTATCACGTAAGTAGGTCCAGCCAGTCAGTAACTCCCTAGAGAGAACTCCTAACAATGTAACAGGCCCTCCAGAGTTGCACCGGCACAGAAAGAGCTCCTGGTCTGTCATTCATGGTCCAGCCAGTGTCTCCTGCTCTCCTGACCCTCGTGTTGATTTTCGTCCACCAGCTATGGAGACCACGTGCAGCACTTCAAAGTCCTGAAGGACAGAGGGGGGCAGTATTTCATCTGGGACGAGCTGTTCAGCTCCCTGAACCAGCTGGTGGAATTCTACAGGACCACAAGCATCGCCAAGGAGAGGACGGTTTTCCTGAGGGACGGGGAGCGAGTTCTGGGGGTAATCGCACTTCCGTTTCGCCCTTCTGTTTTAATCTTAGGCTGGTCAGCTGGCAGACCTGCAACTGGGGCAGTTTCCGCTTGGACTCCACAGGTGCCTGCACTATGAATAGGAACTAACCCACTCGCTTCCTTAAGTATGAGTCTTAACGTTGAAAAAGAGCCTAGTGTAAGTGCAATGTCAGCTGAATAGCTCAGTGCTAAGCATATAATTGCAGGCTACCAGAGTGGCCATAAATCACTTTTAAACACTGCGAAACAGGTCTCATGCTGTGCAATTGTTTTCAAGCAACAATCTTAAGATCATGATCCTTTTCATTATAATTAGCTAACCAATCTGCAAGTCCCTACACAAAATCATCCTGTTGTTCCTGGCAGCCCTCCTTGGCTTGTTTCATACTACACGCATTTCAAAACCAGTGTCAGAACCTGAACTGGGGCCAAAATAAATGATCACACATGACAGTATGTTCTTCTTCGAAGAAGCAGACCCACAGGTTTGCCATACAGACTTAAAAGATTTGGAAAACCTCTGTAGGGGTGAAAATAAGCCTTCCATTGCACAGCAGTCTGAGGTTCTACGAGCCAACCGAAGGTGCTGGATATTTCAGACCATATGTGGGGTAATTGTCCAGGGCCATTAAGTGGGATCAGACACTCCTGCTGCTGCAAAAATGGGCACATTAGCCAACCTCTGCAACTGAGGATGTGAAATAGAACACTGACGTATGTTTTGTTTTGCTGTTGAGGTGAAACTGATGTGTGCGTTGTGCATCCAGCAGGCACAGACATCTCCCTCCACATCTCGCTCTTCTGTAGCTATTTATTCTGGCCATTTCAGCTGTATTCCTAGTTGACCATACAGCGGGCACACAGTTTAGTGCCGGTCTTACCCAGCTGCCACTTTGCTAAACCACTAACACAGCTGCAGCTGGTGTGGAAAGGAGAGCACGCTCTTTAAAGATCAGCCCACACACAGAGTACAGAATTACCTCCTACTCTCAGTTCAAAAATGCGCATCCCCTTAAGTTCCTCTTGTATCCTCTGGTTCGTGTTTTACCGTCTGTTCTGAAGAGGTCTACTGGGTTGAATCAGGATTTCAAATACCTGTATCGGGTCCCCTTCGTTGTCTTCACTGTTCAAGACAATGTGGTACAAAACCAAAATCAGATTCCTTGTAATAACTCATTGATGGAAACTTCAGAGATTGAATGTAAGGACAAGACATGATTTTGAAAGAAAACTTTTTTTCACTAAGGGAAATATTTTGGATTATAACCAGGTTATACTTTTGTGGTATGTCTCTGAGGGTTTCTTTGTTGCTATGACTGTTGCTATACTTAAAGAATACCACAGCACAGTCCCACATGTCTCTCTTTCCGTCACAGCAGATGTACACAGAACTCATTCCTAACAATTACAAGAGCCGGGCTCCGAAGTGCTATTTTTCAGACTAGGACTTCAAAGGGCACGACATCTGTTTCACCAGACAGCAGATCGTTGTCTATGTCTACTGCAGCCATGCTGCGCAACATTTAAAAAACAAACACCAAAACTGTCAGATTAGGTGATCAACCCAAGTTTTGTGCCTGCTTTTTAAAAAGCCCATGACGAAAAAATACTTGCCTTTTTTCTTTGATCTGGAGCTTTGGAATTTCTCGTGGATTTCTTGTGTGGGAAAGGTGGTCCCTTTTTTCTCCCTTATAAACTCTCGTCTAGGCAACGAGGGGCGCAAATCTGTTATCCTTAGATCCAGAATGTCAACACCTGCCTCTCAAATACATTGCAAGGCAGCGACAGGTCAACCCTGCTGAGAACTAGAAACATCCTTCAAAAGAAAGCTTCTAAAAAGAATAAGGAAAAAGGGCATTGCAATCAAGCTTGGCAAGGGAAAGATATGATAGCAAGAAATTGGCTTATTTTTATTTGACTGATGCTTTTACCCAGAGGGGCTTACCATTGTATTTATATGAACAACTGGGCACTTAACTGAAAGAATCACAGCAAAATCCCTCAACAGCTGTAGCTCACCCAGGATTTGAACCCGCAACCCCCCAGTTATGAGTCCAGAGCCCTTTCCGTTGTGCCGCCTCAGGCAGCTGGCACTCCATCCCATGGGGCTGTGTGATCTGTATCCACACTGGAGTGAAGAGGAGTGCCTCTAGCACAGGGAGGGCAGAAACGGGCTCTGGCAGAAGGATCATTATCCCTCGGGAATGATAGCCAGACATCTACTGAGTCACTTGGAGCGCGAAACTGGCCCGGATTAAAGTCTGATCCGTGCTGTTAAGAAACCCTGGGCTGGGAGCTTAAAAACTTTCAGCGCACTCTAAATGTATCACGAGCTTTCCTTTTCGAACAGAAGGAAGCAGCTTCACGTCAAAGCCTCTGGACTTAGAACGCACATATTATTCTCATCTCACAGAAAACAAAGTTGTGCAAAACTGCCTCTGCTCCAATTTTTAGCCTGCTTTAGATTCCACACTTCAAGCTGAATTATGAGCACCCTTTCACAGGTTATGAATTTCCAGCTCACCTCCTGCACCAGAATCTCTATCTGCTCGCTGATGTACCCTGTGCTGCTCGTCTCTTGCATCCACTCTGGTCAGTTCTGAATCATTTCCAAGCTGGCAAAAGAGGGATCTGATAATGACATCACGGATTGCGTGTTCCTCGCTTGCTCGACAGAGAGCCGAATGGTGGCACAGAAGCTTATTTTTCTCTTTCTGGTTCAGCTGTGTGTCCTTGCACAACATCACACAGAGCCGGATTGTGTTCACACATAATTTATGAGAGAATCAATAAGTATTCAGGCGCCCGAACTAGGTATTGGCAACGGAGGATTTCGGAGACTTTGACTGCCGGCATAAAAATAAGATTATGTTGTGTTTAAGGTGGCCGTGAGAAGGCTTTGCTTCCAGATGAAGGTGTCACAGAAAACTGAATGTCTGGTTAGAACTATCTGCCTCTTTTTTCCCGCCTAAATGGGATTGCTCACGTGTGGGCGCAATCACTAAACCTTCCCCGGTGCTGTTCTGTCATCTCCCCGCAGAGACCACGCCAAGCTCGGGCTCTCTTCGACTTCACTCCCCAACATCTGTCCCAGCTGCGCTTCCTGCGCGGCGACGTCATCGACCTCCTGGACTGCGCCGACTCGGGCCGCTGGAAGGGCCGCTGCCAGGGCAGGGTGGGCTTCTTCCCCCCCGAGTACGTCCAGCCCATTTACCACTGACCGGGCAGAATGAGGGCGGGGCTGCCAGGAAACACTGCACCACTGCGGAGAGGGAGGTGGGGGGGTGGGGGGTGGGGGAGGGGAGGCCAAAATCCACGCCAAACGCCCCAGATCAAAAGGCTTTGTTTCAGGCTCAGCTGCTATCTCACGCTCACAGCATCCTGTACAGTGTCCACAGGAGTCCCGACGCGATCTCGAACAAAGGGGAGAACCGCAGGCCGAGATACTGAGATATGGGGGAGGGGTTCTGGAAAGTGACACAGAGAGAGAGGTGGCAAGAGATGAAGATCCGGCAGCTTTACGTCAATAACGGGATCGTTTCCAGGCCCCGAAACTGCACTCATGGTGTCAGGCACTAAAATTGCCCTAAATCCAATGGATTGACATAAATACATTCATAATGAAATGGTCGAATTGTCTTTAGAAAGCGGGTGCAGGTCATCAGAGCAGGCGTTTCTGTACATTCTGCCTGCAGAGGTAGTAGACCAATGCATAGGCTGTGTGCACTGGCTGTGTTGTAGCTGGCACTGACCTGTCACTCCATACTGGCCTTTATCTCCTAGCAGTGGTGTATCTCTGCTCCACACGACAGCGTGGGAGCCCTGCTCCACACGACAATGTAGAAAAAAAAATTGTATCCCAGACCTAAAGAGTGCAGCGTGGGCTCCAAAAGCATTGAAAAGCCCCCCCAGGTTGCTGTAATTTTCAACAACGAAGCACTGAAAGCACAGAAGCTCATTTTGCATTTCACTTTTTTCAAATGAACACCATGCCGTTAGTAGGCGCAGCCCATCGGTTGGACAGACACTAAAGCCACCAATGGAAACTGTACATGGAGAGCTGGCTGTGGAAAGGAACAGGCTTTTCTTTGCATGGGCATTGCCATGAGTGAAACATGGACATGACGAAAATGCTGTCATATACCGCTCTGACAAGTCTCCACCGACGTCGATAACTGCACATGCTGCTCCGGCCAGCAGCTTTCGAAGTTCTATGGGTGGGGGTTCGTGTTGTCACCTGGCCCACAGACAGACACTGCTCCCACAAATGTCCCGGACAGGGGACCGCAGGGCGAAAACCGTACCGGCTCATCACGAGGGGCACAGGGACCCTGGCTTTCCCTACAGGGCTGTGCACATGAATCTCAAAGAGTCAGCAGTTGCACGTCTGCCCATCTGAAAACACCAGATGGATTCTGTTTACCAAGTCAGTGATTACCCTGCTATACGAATGAGAAAAATGACCTGTTTGTTTCTGTGCGGATGGTGAAAAATAATAATTATTATTTTTTTCCCATCTTGACCTTTGAGCACAGCTGCCTGATAGAGATAACAGTGGAATGTCAAAAGACCTGATGATCTTCAGAAAGAAGAATTAACCTGACACTAGCTACTTGGCACAAAGGTCACCACCGCCCAGATGGAACCGAAAACATTCCCTGAGATGGGTAAAAAAAGAACAGTAACAAACACGATGATCAAATAAAGATGCTTTTTTCTTGCGCTTCTGGCTAATGTGTCTCAAGGCATTGAACTGGAAACTCGTTTTCTTTGAGGGGGGAATTTGGTGTGTTGCTTAATAATTTAAATCCTATAAATTCAACGTTTTCTAACAGAAAAAAAAGTCTTCTGTTCAACATTACACTGCAGTTAAACGAAGAACGTTTTTTTCCCAGTGAGATTCCCCCAGCACCACCCGATGCTGGAGGAACAAGCAGAATCAACCGGAAGACTTTCAAACTGCTGCCTTTTTCTAGACACAGGTCAAACCCTGGAGGGGCAGCGAAGCCGATCTTTTTTCCTGTAACCCAATCTGAAACTCAAGTCTCTCACTCGCCCTGCTGGGAGGAAGGGTGTGAGAAAACACAAGCTGGCTTATTTCTGCAGCCAAGATTTCTACATTAATGCTGGAGCAGCTGAAAAATGTTTGCATGTTGTGTAGCAGTCGGATACAATGCTGGGAATGTTGGCCTTCAGGGACACTCCCCTGCAGATTGTAGCTGCTGAAGCCGAGCGCACAGCAGCCAAGGTCAAAGCCGAGGAAGGAGACACATCCTCTGTGCAGATTGTGACAGTGACACTGAACTCTCCCCCTCCTGACTCTAAACTCAGCTTAGCCAGCTGGCTGGAGCTCTCTTCAGCGACGCTGTGTCTCACATCTAGTTCCGAGACTGAGAGCTCACTCAGTTTGGGTCGCTGGTGTAAAACAGGCTGAGAAAAGATCTGAAAAGGAGATTAATTGTTAGGCAACACTTACCAAAAAAAAAAAATACCTTAACGATCTTGCAGACCTGGAACCTGAAGTTTTGACTAAAAAATGACCCGAGAAGTTAAAACACATTTATTCACACGGCACTTTTTTATCATTTTGTTTTATTTTCCGTTTCCACGGTTCAGAGGACACACATTTACAATTATCATTGCATCACTGCTGCTGACAGGCTTTTAAGGTTAGCTCAGTTTCCAGGGTTTTTAAGACGGCCCTGAAATCATCACCACACGTACCTTAGCGATGTTAAACAGTTCAGTCCTTACAGGTTCAACACAAAACTGCAATGAGAAACGGCAGATAGTTTCTCCACATATTGGAAATTGAACTGCAGTGACATTTTAGAATAAATTACAGTCACAAAGATTTTATAACAAAAAACAAATGCCTGTGTGGCCATTGATTGATACAGCAACAACTCTCTACGTTTCCTCTAATTTCATTACTTTTCCGCTTTTCTTCCCTTCCAAACATGCCCTCGGCCCACCTCAAGCTGCATAAACGCAATAAATTAGGATCACACTTTCCTCGCCGCACACAATCGGCAGCAAGGTGCCCAGGAGGTCAAAGGTCGGATGTGTAAAGAGCAAACTCGCCCACCCCGCCAGAATCAAAAGATCTCGTTACGCGAAGTAGGCGTAGAAGAAGATGTTGACGCAGATGAGGACGATGGCGTTGATGCAGCAGACGCGGGCCCAGAAGGGGTTCTCCCTAGTGCTGCAGATGACGGGGCGCTTGGGTACCCCACTCGTGCGCGACCGGGCCCTGCAGAGCGCGCTGCTCCGTGCGCAGTGACCATGCCACTCCGGGCCACCACCTTAGAGACAAACCGCAGCGATAAGGAGGACAACTTTTGCAAAAGAACCCTCTGCAGATCCCGCCTTCCATCTGCTTGTCGGCCAGCATCTCACCGAGTGTGTGCCACCACCTAGGAGTTTCCAGCCCATAACTGAATAAAATCAAGCGTGTGCATTCACTACTGCACCCTGTGTGCCTGAGTACAGGCATTGCTTTAGGCAGTATTCCCTCAAATTTTGAAATCCGTGCAAAATGGACTTATTCCAATTTGACGTGCATGCAAAATGACGCTAACCAATGCTCTTGCACTGAGCAGACACTGTGGATGGCTACAGTGTCACATTAATGCATTCAGCGTGGCCCTGCAGAAGCTTTTCTTTTCGCAGCTGAACATGGGCAACCGTATGATAAGTAAACAAAGAATCCGAGAATTAGAACAGAAAAAGCTCGCAGAACTACATAACTTATGACCACGAACGGTAGATGTGACAAATTTCTAAACTTATGGCCGAGTCAAATTACACTGACCGCCAGGAAATCCAAAAGTACAAGTTCCAAAAAGGTCTGGAATGAGTAATCACTGTTATGTTCTCTTCCTTCATTTTATTTTAATTTTACTTTCATTTTATTCTTCCCTCTGCTCATTTACCAAACTATTTGACCAGTAACACACATTTCAGCCCATCATATCCTGTTTCAATGTGCCCAGTTTTGAATATCCTTGTATTGAACATAAAACAATAAAGCAAAATGACCATATACAGTATAGGTGTGTGAGAGGTTACGAGCAAGAATATAGCCTATTTGATTGACAAGTGGTCAATGTATCTGAAAAGGATTAAAAAACACACCTCACCAGAGACACAGAGTGTGCCAGAGAAGTTAGGGCTACATGAAACATGGAATTTCATAGAAATCCACAAAGATTCTGAAATTTCAGACTCCACACAGAAAGTAGGGAGATAATATATCTGGGGGTGTGATAGCTTGAAATGTAAAATATTCTGTTATGACAAATGTAAGCTATTGTGCAGTGCTTAAATGTAAATGATTTTTTTCATTGATTCATGATTAAATTGTTTTAATTGTTTTTGTTTCATTTTGCTTATGATCATTTTAGTTGGTATAATATTTTTAATACATTCCACTGCAATTTGGATGCATGTCAATGTGCAAACACCTTTAGAGACAACATTCAAATGACACTGGATAAATGACAAATCTGCACATTATGCAAAGACATTTACCTGATCAGCCTAATAAGACCATTAACCAGGGAAACCCCACAACACTTTCCTCCCTGAAGCATACGTGTCCTGTATTAAATCGTCAACTTTAAAAGGGCTAGAAAGTGTTTAGTGAATTGTGCTTCTTTCAGCCAATAATAAGGTCTGGGAGTTGACTACAGCAGACCGTTCTCAAGTTTTTCTGTACCAGGATCCAGCTCCCTAAGTCTCTTACTTGTAAAGGTTCTAAACCGCCAAACAATAGAAGAAAAGGAATGAATTAACATTTAGCAAAAAAGCACACTTACTGTCCGTCCTTTGATCTGACGCTGTGCTCGTGGAAGATACTTTCTGCAGGGGGATGACAGGGCTGTCTTTCTCCTGTGACAGAGTCCACCAAGTCAGGTTCTTGATCTGGAACCAATCAAAACACACGTCACTGACTGCAGACCACCTGAATACCCTATACTGTAGATGACAGCTGTCACCCTCATTCAGTACATTTACAGGATACATATAAAGACAAGGGGAGGCGTGGTAGCTCAGACGGCAAGGGTGTCTAGCTCCTGACTGGAAGGTCCCCGGCTCAATCCCAGGAAGGGGCAAGTGATGTACTGTAGTTTGCTCTAATTCCTTCCAGATGGCTCCCAGGTCCACTCAGCCTGCTTTCCAAGTGAGTACCAGGGGTTAATCCTTCTGGGGGTAACAGGCTGGCTGGAGTGTGATGCTGACCACCTCACCTCCACCTCCAGTGCTGGATGGTTGAGAAAAACAGTGGCCCTGCCCCCCATTCTGAAAAGAGGACCTAACCTACCTATCTATATAAAGATAACATACTGTATGTTGAATATTATAAGACAGGTTACATTCTCTCTTATTGCACTTGAGTCCACTGCATTGATCATTTACCATTGAAGCTTCCTCACTCTGACCACAAGATCCAGCTGTCTGCTGCAAAGTACCAGTGGCTTCATTAATTTCAAAGCCAGAGATTTATGGTCATGTTCCCTATATACTGTTCACAGTGGTGAAAGATAGGAGGCTCTTTATTATGATATGTTGTTTTCCTTAAACAGAGCAGGGAGCTGCGTCGGTGTGCGTTGGCTACAAAGGAGCAGGTCAAGTTTAATTCCATGCTGAAATGCAGAAAGAGGAAACCTGGTGTTTTAGCAGTGACACACCTGAAGAAAGCTCAACAGCTGAAATGCTGTTTCTTCTTTCTGCCTTTGCATGTGGAGTTAAAGGGGAATTGCAGTCCCAAATTCTCAGACCGGTTATTAAATCTCTAGAAGAAAATAAATTCATTGATGTTATAGATGGTGCTGCGCATACCTGGAAACTTTGTTTATTTTTTTATGTAAATTGGACGTTTTACACGTTATTGTGCACATTTTACTTTTATTGTGCTTTGAAATGCACTCATCAATGCTGACTCTTGGAAACACAATGTTTCGGCTGTGGAGCCGTCTTCGGGTTAACCTTTCTGAGCTCCTGCTGATTAAATCACCATGTTACCACAGAAAAAACACAAACCAAATTGGCTCAACTTCAGAAAACCTACAGCTTATGAAAAAAAAACGAAACAAACAGGACTTCAGGTTAGTTTAAAGAAAGCCATGTTCCTCTCTCTGTTTTAGAACAGGGGCAGTGTCACCCCCCCAGCTCTTTCGCGTGACAGGCCTTCCCCTGTCAGTTTGGTGATCCTGACACCCCCACCCTCTCCTGCAGCAGCAGCACTGACCTGCTCCTCGGAGGGGGGGGCGCTCAGCAGGCTGACCAGCACTGCCACGCCCGCAGTCAGAGCGCACAGGATGATGGCAAAGTGCAGGTAGTGGACGCTGCTCAGCACGGGGGGCCGGGGGTCCGGCACACCGCAGCGGGGGGGCGGGTACACGAACTCCATGATCATGCGCACCAGGCCGATCGCCAGCCCGACCATCAGCCCCCAGAATGCACCCTGCCACCGGAGAGAGAGAGAGAGACCTTGTCATTACAGGGTGAAGAGCGGATCTGATGCTTCCCATAATCCAATGTTTCCCAGCTCAAATCTAATAATAAATAATTCCTTACACTTAAAAACCACGTTTCTGGACACTCCACTTAAAGCGCGCTACAGGTAATGGGGATCCCCTCCACCACCACCAGTGTGCAGCCCCACCTGGATGATGCACCAATACTCTCACCACACACCAGATCTCAGTGGGGAGGAGAATGGAGTAATGAAGCCAGTTCATAGATGGGGATTATTAGGAGGCCATGATTGGTAAAGGCCAATGGGATGTTTGGCCAGGGTGCCAGGGTTACACCCCTTCTCTTTTCAAGGGTTTTAGCCCATTCACACCAACAAGAAGAATGTGACACACAGCAGCTGTGAATTGAAGGTGTAATGTGCTTTGTTAGACTGGGGTCACCAAGGTGTCACACAGACCCCGGTCACCAATCTACAAAGAAATATCTTCAGCAGCCAGTGGTAATTCTTGTACAGAAGTCTGTTTGTTTCGTGTGCTTGTTTTCCCTTCAGCTTAAAAGAATGTTATCTGCACAGTTTGGCCAGCATGCAGACAGTTGAAGACAAAACAACAGCGGGAATCAAGTTAATCTGCAGAGCACACTTTGTCAGCAAATGTTCAAGCCATATTTTGTCAGATGCAATGAACAAGTACAGTAAAAGGCTCTTGTGATTACAGTACTCTGCCTGGCAGTAAGGCAGTAAAATACAAAGGAAAAAAAACTTTACCTAACTGCTCATGTGCAAGGAACAATATTTACAAAGGAAGATCGCAAATCATACAAAAAATAGCGAATACAGAATTCCCCAGTAACTGTTTTAAAAGGCCTAAATTAAACCCAACTGTGATACAGCACATGGACCAGGTGACACTACCCAGACAAAGACTGGGAACTAGACCAGACTGCTACCCCACGAGTGCCAGGTTACATACCTCAAGCTCCAGCCCTAACAACTTGCAGGATCTGCAACTCGACACAAAATGGCAGTAGGAGTAGGAGGAGACAAGGACAAAGTTGTGGATCCACAAATACATTTACACTGATAATACCAAATACACCAATGAGAATGCTCACTAATGATTCTAAATACAAATGCTAAATCAATGTCCTTTCCTTTACATGTGCTCTGGGATGATGGATGATGTTAAACTTAGATGATGAAGATGAACAAGTGAGTGAATAGTGAATATAAAAGCCCTCGTAAGAGATCATGCGACAAGCCCTACCAACAGGCCTTCGTCACAGGTCTATTGCCAGAAATATTCAAGTCCCTGCTTGCAACAGGTGCGTGAAAATATCTGCTTAATTACTTACTATTGCCTTTCTTGTTAGATCTACTACTATGAAGACATAACCACTTGAAATATTGACCAATTGAGATCAATTGTTGCCTCTCTCCAGATATCAACAGCGTGTCAATAAGAATTGACAAATAAGAAAATAGACACTGCCCCGTCCTAAAAGTAAGGAACTTTGCTTCGTACATATATTCTGTTCATTCCACTTTACTTAAACAGGGCTGATTTCTATAGACTGATTCAAGCACGGGGCTTAGAAAACAGCACTAGAATAAAAGACAGAACTGCAGATGAAAACTGTTCTGTACTTCAGTGAATCTTCTCTTCCTTGAGATCCCCCTACCCCCTATCCTGGAGGATATACATTGAATGTGCTGTACACAATTACAACAAGGTGCAGCTCCTGCAAGACAGTGGGGAGGCACTGAAAAGCAGCAGAGAATGTGCCTGCTTGTGTTATGATATTATTACTATACACAGCATAACCTGATTTCACAGAATGAGCTCATCCCAAACAATCAACAAAGCTGTTTCTGACACCCTCACGCTTTGCCCTGCAGCTCTGTTCCTCTGGAAATGTAACAGGCTCTCCTATTTAAACAAATGGTAAGGAAATGTCTGCACGCCAGCGTTTCAACCTGATCTTTCGCAACTGTGTTCCGAGACCTGCTATATTTTAATAATCACGCATAACACCTTTCAGGCACGACACTGGAAAAAGCTTCATGCAATGATAATGAAAACAGATAGAAAGGGAAGAAATTGGCCCATTTCCATTGCGATACAGAAAGGGTAGTAGGGGTTGAGGCGAAGGAGGAACTCCGGTCTGTGTTGGGTTCCCTGTCCTTTGTTTGTAAAGAGAGTGTTGCTGTTTTCAGGAAGAAAAAACGAGGAATGCAAAAGGTGTTGAAAATGAAATAAAAATGCATCTGGTCAGCCAGGGTTGGCAAAGCTAAAAACAAACAGGTTGAAAATAGAAAGCAGAACCAACACATAATAACCTCACATAACTAAAGCCCATAACTCTGGCCCCTTGCTGATCAAAGGAATGCTACAAAAGCAGCAAGCTGTGAGGATTTCTGCCTAGCCTAACATCACAGGAAAATATTTCACAAATAGCATTGTTTGCTTTGTTAATTCAATCATTTCTTCCCAGGTCTTAATTGTTTGCTTTGAAAAAGGGTGCCAATAGCTCCTGTAGGACAGCAAACTAGCCCAAGATAAGGTAATAAACCCAAAAGAACCAACATTGGATGCTATATATAAGACCCTGCAGGTCAGATAGCTGGAAATAGGCCACTATGACATTTCATTTCAACGTAGATCACACACAGGCTTTTCAACACAGATCTGTCCGTACATGTTGCTTGTATAAAAATAAAAATGAATACATTAAAAAACAAAACCCTATTCAAAAGCTAGGGGGTTAAGCACAGGTAGAAGGTATTAGTCATTAAGAGGCAAGGGAAGAGGCTGACTTTTTAAGTGAGAGAAGATAATAGCTTCTCAGCACTAGGCATGGCCCTGAGGAACCACAGTCGTTCAGACTTTATGCATTTCATTAAACACTGGAGAAAGAAAACAATTTGACTAATTGTGCACATGATTTGAGTGTTAGCAGGACGGCTTTGCTATGTGTCTTTATCAGTGAGAGGCTTTGTACAAGGCTTTGCTGGCTTAAAGCCCACAAAAATGCATCATTTTTGAACAAGAGAGATGTAATTATATACTAGAAATGTCCACCCCTGGGGTGTTTAAGACAAGTTTTCAGATGTTGTGTTTAAGCTGGTGCTGCATTAGCTCATAGAGAAATGTGTTATAATTATAGCCCATCTTCATTGAACTAGTGTCCTGACTTTACCTAGTAATAACATATTAGAGGATACGACACATTATGTATTATATATGTGGATCTACTGTCATCTTCATCTTCTAGTTTGCAATAAAAGTACATTCACATAACATAAATTCCATTTGCCAGAGCATCTTTACAACAGTTGGAGGGCTAAGACTCCTCTGAGGCACGCTGAAAACGTTCTATAACACCAGAATCCCAAGAGTGTTTTGCAAGTACAGGTTTGTCAACAGAAATCACCTACATCAGAATCCCAAGCCTCTGTCAGGAGAATTAGACAAATTTGATAACACACTTCAGCTGTGAGTTAGGGTGGGAAATACCACCTGAGAGCATTCATCTAAACAAAGGCCTGGTGAGTCATCGAAAGCATCCTGGAATATTTTAATGAGCTTTAAAAATACTGGGTGTTGAACACAGCCAGCAAAATGAGAGCTTTAAGCTGCACACGAGTTTCAAGAAAGGATCACAACAAAAGCACACAGGAGAAACTGCTCTTATTTCTCATAAGGGGCGAACTGCATACACAGTACTAAGATGCCCAATCATACAATAACCACTATTTCACCAGCGTTCATGATGTTGACAAAGATCTGGACTTAAGCAAAATGTCTTGATGCTTTCATGTTATTTTTTTCCCCCAAAACACAGAACCAAATGAGAACAAACTCCACAACAAGGGGGGTTCAAGCTAGGAGCTAAATTGAACCGTTCTTACTCTGCAATTGTGAGCTTTTACACAGAGAAGGAGGAAAAACCACAGACAGCAATTCGTTGGTCAATTTACAGGCTCTTCCCAGCGAGAAGAAGGAAGACCTTCTGTTCAAATGCAAAACGTCACTGTCTGATTTTATCCTCAGCTGTAAATACAGTACTGAAGCAATCAGGACACTGCAAACAGTAAGTATGAGAAACAATGTCTGGAGTATTAGGGTATTCATGTCCCTGCACAAAGGGCAGTTTTAAATGCTTATGCTTAAACTGTTGCTTACATCCTCAGTCTTAGCCACCAGTAAGATGCTGTAAGTTGCTCTGAGTGGCCTTTAATTTCACAGAAATATGACTTTTTTGTTTACCAATCCGTCTTCTAATAACATAGATGGTGGCCAATGGTGGAAAATAAAACCTTGCCTTCTGTAGCCCATTGACCCAACCTCCTACATCACAGCTGGATTGTGATTCTTTGTCGTTCAGCACATCTGGTGAAGATGTGATATTTCCCTATCTTCAGCCACCTCAGCTTTGTGCCTATTCAAGGGGGTCTAGCCCAGGGAAAGAGAGCATGGTCTCACCGCTTCATTGGTCCTCCTCCAGAAGACCGCCAGCACGAAGATGGCGGTGACAGGGGGGGCCAGGTAGCTGGTGACCGACTGGATGTAGACGTACAGCTGCCCGCTGTTGGCACTCTGAAGGATGGGGATCCACACCACACTGACTGCCACCAGGATCACGGTCACGATTCTGTGAGACACAGCACCTACCCTGAACACCACATCACCACAGTCTACTGCCTGACCACTGTGCCCTGATGTCACAGCAGTGGAGCTCGTCGCTGGTCACTGAGCACTTCAGAGCGTGCCCCTTAGCACAAGTATTGCAGTGCACCTGAAGTCAATCTGCTATAATAAAACAGTCATATACACCCCTGACACTTCAAGGCCGCACTTCTGATTGTTACACTATCTGGATAAGAAGTATACGTTGGCTTGCCTGATCACCACCATTGCATACCAACTAATTCGACACTTCTGCCCCAGTTTTGACCAGCTTGGGGTTTCACACACATCAGTAAAACCAGATTTGTGGGAGGCCTAAGAGTAAGAGGCTTAACTAATGGCTTACTTGCAGAGAGCAGATGGAGCACTATAGAATCGATGGGTCAGATCTGATCCTAACTCACTGTATCCAAAAATACCCTACTGGCAGCTCACTAGGGTTCTTTAAGCTCAAACTCCCATCAGTGAGAGCTCCATCAGTCCTGTGGAGTGACAGTGCACGTTTAGGAGGAAGATGCAGATGGAACCTGAACGGAGTTGACAATTGGTTATTCGGACTTATATGCGTCTATAAAGGAAAACAGATGGTGATTGCAAATTGAACAGAACTAAACTTACAGCAATCAAGGAGCACAGATCAAAGCCTACTGTTGAGGTTTCCTGAAGTTAAAATAGTGCCGTACACTGCGCATCATGCATGAACAGGCGGCTCGGCCTCTATGGAGCCACTGTGTGTGGTGTGCACAGAGGAAAGGTAACACACAGCTGCCCCAGAGGGTCTCGCTCACCTCCCCACGAGCAGCAGCTCCTTCTCGCTGGCATGTTGCCGGAACTTCTTCCAGATGTCCATGGTGAAGAGCGTGCTGGAGCTGTTGAAGATGGAGGTGAGGGAGGACATGAGGGCCGCCATCATCACCGCGATCATCAGCCCGCGCAGGCCTGCCGCCGGGCAGGGAGGAGGAAGACCGCGGAGAGGAAGAACAGGGAGACGGCGGGTGAGGTCAAGAGGCCAAGGGACGGATCTTCACATTAATCAGATATTTACCAAAATCCCTGAAGCCTTTTCCTTTTCGCCATTCAAAGCGCTCAGTGTTTTTTCCAGCGCTGAAGTTTCATCACCTCGTGCCCCTTTAAACTTGGCTTTGGCCAATTCTGTTTCCCAATTAAATGCACTAACGTTCTCCTAATACAAAACAAGGAAGCTGCTTCTCACTATAACAGCAGAGCTTCTGAGTGTCTTGCCTCATCAGTCCCTCAAGCAGAATTTGCAGGGGATGCTGATCACCAAAACTTAGACGTGATTCAGTCTTCCAGCTGACAGATATACAGTATGAGCACATGGCTGAGTATTTATTATTGGCAGCCTCGGAATGAGCTGTTTAATAGAATTGTTTTCAGCAGAACAGATCTAATGTACAATCATCAGAACTGTGATATTTTAAACAATTATTGTTAATGATAATAAAACATCATATACTCAGAAGGCTATGAGTATGTTTTGCTACGTCCGAATCTAGTGAAGTCACCATGAGTGCCAATTGTATTTTAAAAGAGGTCATGTTTTTCGGAAAATAAAAATGGTAAACAAGAGTATACTAATCATCCTCAACCATGAAAAGTGGGGCAGGCCAAGAAAATGGGGATGAAACCTGATGACAAACATTGGAGCAGAGATTTTCTATGAGGCTGGATTACTGAGCATCTAAACAGCTGTAATAAACTGCTTTTATTTCAATATTCTAAATCTTGAGAAAGCAAGCAGCACCTTGTAGGATTAACATCAGGTGTTTCAGTAATTTTGAGACTGTCTCTGTTGTTGGAGCAGTAAAATTACCCATGATGCCATCTTGGACAGGCCTCCTTACCCATGATGCCATCTTGGACAGGCCTCCTTACCCATGATGCCATCATGGACCAACAAAGTTACCCATGATGCCATCACAGATTGGCCTAGTTGCCCATAATGCCATCTTGGACCAACAATGTTGCCATGATGCCATCATAGACTGGCAGTTACCCATGATGTCATCTTGAAGGCCTTGGGGACAGCAGAGATAGCCCTTACCGCTGGGCATTAGCTCGATGACCAGTTTGGGGAAGGCGATGTTGGAGCAGCCTACTTCTGCACCGCAAACCTTGACACACTCCTCTGGATCCACACAGCCCACTGAGTCTGGAAGACACCACAAGTCAAAGCTTAGGCTGATCGCCCATGATCACCTGACTGATCCCTGCCTTACCTGTTTAGAAGCTTTATTCTTTCACAAAGTAAGAGTGCCTGTTCTCAGTACGTGAACAAAGGTTAAAGTTGAGATATTTTAGGGTAATTCTCTAAGTTCTGATAGGATCATATAAACCAAATACTGTTTAAAGGAGAGCATTAAAGAAGCCAGTACCAATATGTTCTACATTTTATGGATTTTGCAGTAAGTGTATTGCAACTTTTTTTTTTTGTTTGACAGAACAGTCCAGGAACATACAACCCTGAGCATCTTTTCTCCCAGTCTTAAGATATATATATATATTTATTGTGCGATTCAAAACACGCTTTACTCTACATTCCTTTGTTGGTTGTATTTTTCTTGCGTTGCGCTGGTAGCTGGGATTGTTACAACAGAAGCAAGCCACAATGACAAAAAGGAGTTAAAAATTAAAGGGACTTCATTGGAGGCGTCGAGACTGCTGACGTCGACTCTACACACACACACACACTGACCCTTGGCTGTTTTTTTTTTCCCCTACGATCCGATCTCGGACCGTCACAACAAGTTTGATCTTCCACGAGGGGGGGTTTTAAAAGTTAACAGCCTGTCGACCGAGCGCCTGTTCCCGAAGTTCGGAACTAAAACGACTGTTATTTTAGGAGAAGGAGATTGATCACGCTCGGATGAGAAGCCTTTTCTTAGATTTTGTCTCTGGCGGGGGTAAAATCAAATGCATACAACAATTTTATAAGACAGAAGAACGTGGCTACACGGCTTTAAATGTGAGCCTTTTACGCAGCGAAGTCAATATTTGACAGGAGCCAACAAGAATGTGTCAATCATCACATTCTTGTGAAATTATAGTCTTGGAACTCTTGGAAACTTTTTGCGTGTCTGTTTTTTCCTTGATTGGCATATGCCCTTGACCTCATTTTCCTAGGATGAGCTGTCGCATGAATAACGAAGGCGATAAGACTGTAGACACAGTAGTCTAGGATCTCCTTCCTGCGCACACAGCGGCGCACTGCCCCGCGGGCACTGAGTCAGGAATGGGGGAGAGCTCTCCCTCGTCACGTGGTTAAGGTGTGGCGAGAGGCGGGGCCGGCGGCGCGGCCGACAGGGGCTTTGTGTCCGTACCTGTCCACATCATCGCTCCTCCCCGCCCCCTGATGCGAGACACGCACACTCTCCAGCCGGGGCAATGCGCTCAGATCGTGAACGCGGCGAGAACTGAAGCCGAACGCAGCAATACGCAGCTATGATTTGAACTCAAGCAAAAATAAACCGTAAAAAAAAAGTTGGAATACCTGCTGCGTGAGAGGAAAAAAAAATCGGTCCAGCGTGTTTATTATAAAGAGAAAGGGAGACAGCCTGGAGAACACGTGTTCTTAAATATTTTGGACCAGATGGCAGGGATTATGCCTTTTTAAATATTGACCACTTGACACTTTTTTTTAACCATGTTTTTTTAAAGTGGAATACTCTCTTATTCTAAGAAAGTGGGGGGAAACAGAGGAGAACCCATTCTTGGTTTGATTTCAGAGAAACTGCCGGGGCTGTGAAAATGGCTCTTTCTCAGGTCCAGTGCTTGGACGACAACAACGTGAACTGGCGAGTGAACGAAGCCAAGCCCGAGTTCTTCTACAGCGAGGAGCAGAGACTGGCCCTGGAGGCTCTCCTGCACGGCGGACGCGAGGGTTTCCAAAAGGTGCTGGAGACGCATAACGTCCGCAAGTTTCTGTCCAACCCGGAGTTGGAGCGGCTCGCCGGCAATGTGCAGGACTACCAGCCCGGCGCGGAGAACGTGAAACAGGAAGGGGACGGCGAGGACGCAGCGGTGTCCCTGCAGTACTGGCCGGAGCGCTCGGACATTGACATTCCCGAGCTGGACATGGGCTGGCCGGACTGCGCGTCCTACCGAGGGGTGACCCGGGCCAATGTGTACACGCAGCCGCCCATGGAGGGGCAGACGCACATTAAAGAGGTGGTCAGGAAAATGATCGTCCAGGCGCAGAAGGTCTGTATATGTCAGCAGGGTTAGTGAACACAGCAGACGCGGTACAGTGGAAAGCACTGTGTACTTGCAATAATAATAATAATTATTATTATAAGTTGTTATTATTATGAACTAAAAAACGTATATTGTTTGGCATGAGCTTGTTTTCCAGCTGGCTTTTGGTCCTGTAGGTACCTTCACATTTACTGCCTGTGCAGCGCATCTACCTGAAACATAAGATATTGTTTCATTATAACTATGCTACATAAAACGGACATAAAAAATAGTCGCTCCTGTCCGCTCCATTTGTTTTTTGCAATTGATGTGACATTTGACTTTTGCGACTTCAGGAGAACGATTTCTCGTTCGCTATATTCTTTATCCAGGACCTATCCAAGAGCTCTTTCAAAGCTACTCAGCTATCCCAGGGCTATGGAAATAACACTGTGCCTGTGAAGTCATTAGTTTAACTCGATCGCCTTGCCAAAATGAAACCCAAGAACGCACAGCGAGGCAGTCGATCACAGCACGGCCGTCTGATAGGGCCCAGACTAGCCCACACTGTGAGGCTTGCGCATCTACACAGTCCAAGCCTGGTCTTTTCATTTTAACCTTTGCGCACAATAGAGCTTTAAACCAGAATGGCCCATGTTTCATATGCCGGGGTATTCCACTGTTGTACTCATAGTGCTTACAATACATTTACATATCGCTAATTAGTAATTTCTCTTAAAAACTATTATGGTGTGGATTCATTTCAGGTCTTTTTCTGGCATTTTCAACTGCCCGAAAATCTTCTCTCATAATTTTGTGCTAGTGCTGCCAGCACAATTGCTGCAACCCTACTAGGAATTTTGATATAACTTTCCCTGATGCAAGAATGCAGATAGATTCTCCCATTGTTACTAACTACACAGCGTACAGTTTCTATGCTGCATATAAGAAGAACACAAACAAACATGTAGGTAATAAAATATCAAATAAATACACATTTTAACAGGTAGAGTAAATTAATTCTGTTGCAATCCAAGAATTCTCCATGGTTTAAAGCAAATATTGTGAATCAACAGCTGGCTTTCTGAAAGAGTACGTTCTGATATTTCTGGCCTCTAGGTTTTGCCTGCAGAAATTAAACAGAAAATTTGAAACCCACTGAAGCTCAGCAGGTGTGAGCCTGGTCAGTACCTGGATGGGAGTTCTAATGTCCCAGTACAGTGATGGGGACACTCTAGAGTAAAAAGGCGCTGTCCTTTGAATGAGACGTAAAACCGAGGTCCTGACTCTCTGTGGTCATTAAAAATTACCCCGGTGTTCTGGCCAAATTTCCTATTGACCTTTACCAATCATGGCCTCCTAATAATCCCCATCTCTGAACTGGCTTCATCACTCAGCTCTTCTCCCCACTGAGAGCTGGTGTGTGGGGAGCGTTCTGGCGCACTATGGCTGCCATTGCATCATCTAGGGGGGGCTGCACATTGGTGGGGGTGGAGAGGAGTCCCCATTACCTGTAAAGCGCTTTGAGTGGAGTGTCCAGAAAAGTGCTACAGTATATTGGTGTAAGGAATTATTATTATTAAAAGCGTAAGGGAGCCGGCAAAGGTATTCTCTCAAGGTTTATTTTTCAAGTGTGCTGCGTTCAGAAAATACAGTGAAAGGAAGGAACAAGCTGACAAAAATACACTTATAAAAGAATCTTCCACATACGGCACTGTTTCCTTCCTGGGCCAATAACTGGGTGATTCCCATTGAACAAAAGGGTGTGCAATTTGTCCCCAGTTTGTCCACAGGGGAGATCAGATTTCATATTAACCCATCTACTTCGTCCAAGAGAGGAAGCAGTGGGAAACTTTCTTCTAAAGACATTGTGTCTTCAACACCGACGATAAGAGAGATCACTTCATTGGCCATATAAAATTTCTGGTATTAGGGATGTGTTTTTCGCATACCCCATCTTGCTCTCCATGAGACACACAGACAGGGAGAGAAGCCTGGGGTCAGAGTGCAGGGTCAGCAATTTATACGGCGCCCCTGGAGCAGCTGGGATTAAGGGCCTTGCTCAGGTGCCCTATGGAGTAGGATTCCTCTGCCGGCCGTGGGATTTGAACTGGCAACCTTCCAGCCACAGGCGCAGAGCCTTAGCCACAGAGCCACCACACCGCCCCGTTAATTGTAATAACTATTACAATTTAGGCGGTTCCTTTACTTCAGGCTAAAGTCTGAGTCAGTCTTTTTGGGGACTGCTTGGAAGAAAACGATCAATAGCTTAGTCATCATCTGCATTAAAAAAACAAGCAAAAAAACGTTCATGCTGGATCAGTAGTGCTAGATCATGCCAAGTTCGAAAGTGCCGATTCTCATTTTCTAGAGATGAGAAAATAAAACTAAATTCACTTAATGATGCAGTCTGCAGTAGTTAAAATTTCTCACTTTAAAAGCCACTATATCCTATCTTTTCTTTAGAATATAAAAGGCCCAGGTCATTTAAATAGGGCCAGTGTTTAAACATTTCATTCAGGAAGTGTGACGCAGCGATACTGTTTCTCTGGCAGGTGGTCGCAGTTGTGATGGACATGTTCACAGACGTGGACATTTTTAAAGACCTTCTGGACGCCAGTTTTAAGAGGAAGGTGCCCGTGTACATCATCCTGGAGAGCACTGGGGTTCAGCACTTCCTCGAGATGTGCGAGAGGGCCATGATGCACAGGGGGCACCTCAAGGTGAGCGACACTCCGTTCCTGCTGTCCCACCTTCTAGCGTCTGGTGCAGGAGACTTTAATCTCCTCGGCAGACTCTCACGGGTTCCTTTCTTTGAGCAAAGGGGGGGATTCACATCGTGTTTGAAAAAGAGAGAAAATGTTTTGTATGAATCATATTAGACTGATAAAATCACAATGCTGGTTCCGCACACGCACATTCCCAGCAGGCCTCAGACGAAGAGAACCGAAGAAATTCTTGGGAAAGCTCAAAAAATAATTAGGCAGGTTATTGTGTACTAATGCTGTTAACGTCAGCATGAATGTGTAATATTGTAAGGTCAGACGTAAAACCTGACGAGAAATGAAGTCGCCCCCCGACGCCACCTCAGTAGAACTTCACCGCCTCTCCACTGGCCAGCTAAGAGACGCCTTGAGGTTTCTTTGTTTCTAAAAACCAGAGGTGGAAGACAGGTCGATCGATCACCTCCTTTCATATTCCTGCAATATGTCCAGCCCCGAGCCACGGAGAGCTGCTGAGGCCCGGAACTGTCACACTGCTCCAACTCCCATATACAAATGTGGTGTTTTCTAGCTTCAGAAATCGGAAAAGGCCCAGGGCCCTCGCAGACAGCTTGTGCCATAGCCTTTCAAGTTATCTGTCGGGCCAGCGTGACCGCCCCCCCCCTCTTCTCCTTTGTTTTAAAAAAACCAGAGCAGGGGTGGAGGTGCACATTCCAGAAATTCCTGTCCTGCAGCTGGTAATCCAGGCCCTTTCCTCTGGCTCTATTTTACCGTACAATCTGTAGATTATACCGATGATATCTCAGGAGTGCTAACAGCACAAAGTGTGAGCGGAGACTGACAATAAACCACTCGCAAATGAAGCTGGGCACTCAAAGAGAAAACTTTTTTTTTTTTTGCACAGTCCCACTGACACTCAGATGGCTGTAGGCAGGGCCTGCTGACATGCCGACGAGAGTGGATAGACTTTAATTTTGTTGCAGTGTCGGTTTTGGCAGTGTGCCTCGCCCTCCCTCCCCCACGGATATAAAGGGAGGGGCAGGGGGGGGTCTCCTCCCTGCTGCCACCCCTCCTGAGCCAGATCTGCCCCTGGGCAAAAGGACCCGTGTGCAGGTCTGCCGTTTCCAAAAGCCTACTGATCTCTCCTGCCCCTGGAGCATGACTGCCTCAAACCCATTATCACAGATGACGAATCCTGTGCAGGCAGCACGAATGCTATAGTTGGAGGTGAAACATTCCTTTTCAAGCCTTCCTTTCCGCCATGAGTAATGTCTGTGGTGATCCGCGGGGCACTTGAAAAGGAGCCGAAGAAGAGGCGGTCGTGGATTTCTGGAATTATCTTAATCTGAGGCATGCTGGGAATGCGCGACAGCGGAACCGGGAATAGAGAAATCTCGAAATCTGTTTTCCGTCATTTTCACCTGCGTCGTGATTTTATCAGTGCCTGCATCTCAAGCACAGGAATGCCTGGACTCTTACACAGAACCCTGAAGCGATGAACAGGATAGACAAGCTGAAATATGGCAACCAAAAAGCAGCTCACATCTTGAATGAAAATCTTTGTTTCATAAACCACGTTTCCACGGGCTACAGACCCCAGTCGCTGCCCACACTGACTCCAAACTCTATGCCAGCCAAGACAAACACATTAGCGGACTAATTGTATCCCCTTTTCCTCATTGAGTGTTAATCAGAGCCACACGCTCAACAACCTAAACAAATCTCCAGTTCTATTTCAGAGAAGCTCATAATACTGTTTGCCCTTCTGGTCCACTCTGATTTCTGGGGACTTGGTTAAGAAGATCAACATCACTCATCATGTCCTCGGTACTTTTCCTTGTCATGAGGTGGTTTCCAAAGTTGAATGTTTAATTATTATTTGGGACGTTTTTCCCACCATAAGGTGGTGGTGGTTGATACAGAAAAGTAGATTTTCATTTCCTGGAAACACAATTTGGATTTTGTTTTTATAGCAAAAGATTTTTATCCTGCGAACATTACGTAAAGAAAAAGACGTGGTTTTCTCTTCCTGCTGCTGTTTTAAATCTGATGAACAACAGAGAGCACGGAACGAACATACCACAATTCAGCCCTATTCAACGGCCCGCGTACTAACATTCTATTTTACTCATCAGGGGCAAATGTCACCGTTTCATGAGTGAAAATACCCAATGCCGCTCTGATCTTTTTGGTTCAGGAGGCTGGTCCGTTGGTGGAAAATCTAGCCAGGTTTGGGTCATCATTGATGTGTTTCAACATGATATATCTTTTGCTGTTTATTTTCCCCAGAATCTGCGAGTGCGCACCATCGCCGGGACAGAGTTCTACACCCACTCGTCTAAGAAAGTGTGCGGGATGTTGAGCCAGAAGTTCATGTTTGTTGATGGAGACCGGGCTGTGTCTGGATCTTACAGGTGGGTTGGGGAAAGGGGGTTGAGCAGATCTTGAAATCTGCAGCGCAGGTTCGGAAAGACACATCTGGACGTCCGCTAACAAGTAGGCTCCCTTACTAAAATGACCAATCCGCGTGAGGTTTCACATAACTGTGTTGTACTGTAAAGCTTTCTTATTCCTTCTGAAATAACTGGATCTGAATCCTATAGCTGTATTATAATACAGATTCTTTAGGACCCAAGACGAGCCAGATTTGGCATTTTTCTAAAAACTGTGAACCAGTCAGGGCTGTATAAATAACAGACACAAACGAAAGCATTATTACAGACATGGATGCGTATTAATCACTTATTTGTATTATCAAATTGTTTTTGTCCTGACAATGTGCGTACTTTTGTGTCGGGAAGAAAACCCCATTTTTGTGCATGATTCTTTGTCATCACTACAGCACGGTAGTTGCGGATCTCCAGAAGGTTTCTCCTGAAAAAGGCATAATAGTACTTAAAACATCCAGAATGGGGTGTACATTAGTCACATTGAAAATTCTCAGAAATGTTGTCTGCACAGCTGGATAGAAGATCCTGAACCTGTACATAATCTAATCCGAGACGGTTCTGTCAAAAGGCATGCAATTCTTTGCCAGTGAGGCATGGTGTGACTTAACAAAAACACACAAAGATAAGTATAATAAGAATCGGGTCTCCTGAGTGGCTCATCTAGTGAAGTTGCTTGCCTAGGGAAAGATGAGCTCTGTGATCAGGGGTTCAAGTCTGGGTCATGTAACTCGCCGGCAGTGACAGATTGCCCAAGCGGTGGCGCACAATTGGCTAAGCAGCACCAAGGGCAGCAGCCAGGGTGCTCTCAGTGGCACGCCCCCCCTGCAGGCCCCTAGACGCAAGCATGCTAGATGTGCTGTCGAGGAGGGACTCTCCTCTCCTCCAGTTGGCACTGAGCCTCTTTTACAGGGCGGTGCTGTGAGGCGTAGAAAGGGGAGGGGCTCGGAGGTGGGTGTGTCCAAAGGCCTGCCCGCCCTCCCTCGTTGCGTGTGGTCACGAGTTTCGTAGCCGCGAACCGAGACGTGACGGGATGAAGCAC